TGGCATAAAGACCAAATAACCGAGGGTGAGGGCATATTCATTTGTTCAATGCCTGCCTGAGTTTAACAGAAAAAAGAAGCGCCGATGGGTGGGAGTGGTGACACCCTGCCTTCTGTGACATCCTAGGGAGGTGGCAGCCACCCAAGGCATATAACCTCTGAGTGTTCATATAATCTGATGGGGCCACAGGCCAATTATAGACTGACTTGGAGAGGATTCAGGCAGATGGAAAAGGGCCCCACTACTAACATTTTAATATGAAATTGTTGATTTAGTGAACTAAAGTGCAGCCATTAATTATTCAGAGCTGCTCAAGAATTTCCATTTAGTAGCTGAGGGAAAGTGAGAATGGTCAGAGGCTGGTTAGAAAAACAGAGAGCGGCCATCAGCTCCTTTGCACTTGTTCCATGAACCCCCGGTTCTTCTGGTCCTAAATGGTCCAGGATGGAGCCAAGAAGAAGACTGGCTAAGCACATAACCGTGGTGCAATGTGCGCTGCTCAGGGCGCTTTCTAGGCAATATCCCATCTACACTTCACAAGGGGTCTTGGAGGTAGGAGTCACCCCCGTTTTACTAAGGGGTAAATTAGCCCTTAGAATCTCAATGCTGTTTATCGAAGATCACACAAATTACAAATGGCAGAGCCTCCAAATTTGAACCCGACTTCTGTCTCATTCAAAAACCCCCTGTTCTCATGAGAAGATTAGTCATTAGGGAAACGCAAAAACCAAAGCCACAAGGAGACACCACTTCATATCCACTAGGTTGGCCATAGTCGAAATAACGAGAAAATAACAGGTGTTGGAGAGAATGCAGAGCAATTGGAACCTTCGTACATTGCTGTGGGAATGCAAAATGGTGCACTCACTGTGGAAAACAGTTTGGAAGTTCCTCAAGAAGTTACACACAAAATGACAACATGACCTAGCAATTCTGCTCCTAGGGATATCCCCAAATAACTGAAGATAGCGTATTCAAATAATTGTTCATAAATGTTCATAGCAGCACTATTTACAATAGGGGAAAGGTAGAAAAAACCCAAGCGTCCACTAACTGATAAATGGATAAACAAAATATGGCATGTCTATACAATGGAATATTATTCCACCGTAAAAGGGAAGGAATGCTCACACACACTACAATGTGGATGGACCTTGAAAATATCCTGTGAAGTGAAAGAAGCCAGACATAAAAGCCAGATCATCTATTCTACAAAACATCCACAATAAGTAAACCCATGAAGACAGAAAGTGGAGGTTGCCGGGGCTGGGCAGAGGGAGGAGAGGAACAGGGATTGTGAATGAGTATGTGACTTCCTTTTGGTGGGATGGAAACGTCTCAGAAGCAGATAGAGGTGACAGTGGCACAACCTTGTAAATGTACTAAGTGGCCATGACTTATACACTCTAAAAATTATTTTATAATTAAATTATAAAATAAAAATTATACTGGTTAATGTGATGTGAATTTTACCTCAATAAGTAAAAATGTTTTTAGAAAAGTAAGCCCTCTGTCCTCTTTGCAACATCACAGACTGATGACAGAACTGTAGAAGGGGGGAAGGTGTGAACAGTGAGACAGAGAGGGAGAGGGGAAATTGAGACACGAGGCGGTAGCGGGGGGATGCATTACAAGCCATGTTGAAAGGTGCCAAGTTCAGGCATCCTGAGTCCTGACCCAGGGTTTGTGGGTACAGAAGGTAGCCATGCAGTCTGTCCTGGACCTACTGGTCACCTCAAAAAAAATCACAACAACACTCACTCATTTGTTTATTACTTCATTCAACAATTGTCAACTACGTGTTCATTCTGTACCGGACACTGTTCTAAGTATTGAGAATACTGCAGCAAATCGAATAGACAAAAACTTACTGACTTCCTGGGGCTCACTTTCTGATGAGGAAGCAATTGAGACATTCCAGGCATGATGCTAAGCTCTCTACAAGGGAACTATCTCAATTTTGCTGATCAATTAACTGAGATATTCAGAGGCACTTAGAGGCTTCCCCAAGATGACACAGATCTTTGGTGGCAAATTAGGAACCTGAGCCCAAGTTTGCTCTGGAGCAAATCAAGACATCTGAACAACTTGAAAGTCATACTGTGGGAAAGGCTGGAGCAGGAGCAGGGATACTTGGTGTTTCGTGGGCCTGTGAGGATTAAATCATTGCTGTTCTTTGCAAGCCTGCCTTCTCTGACAAGGCTGCCCCGTCCAGAGCTGCTCTGCCAGCCTCTGGTAGGCCCGCCCCTCCACACTTCATCTCCCGCACTCTAGGTATCATGATGGATGGTGGTGACATGTTAAATTATTCAGGCTCTGTGTCTTCCTTGCATTGGTGACAGCGATATTGCATTTTTAGATTGCCCAGAACTGTGCCAGATAGAGAAATATGAAGCTGGGGAATGCAAAAACCCATCTGATCCCCAACTGTCCAGGGAATACAAATGGTGCCAGTCATGGGAAGAAGTGGCTAAAGCTTCCCACAACCCCCTAAACCATACAATTCACAGTTGCTCTGAGCTCCAGGGCTAAGCCACAGGCTTTCATACACCCCCACCACTCAGAGATGCTCTGACCACAATTGCTACCTGCCATCAGGCACCACGCTACAGGCCAGGTATGGTGCCAGGCACTCTACCCAGAGGGGACACATATTCCCATTCCTCCAGATGTGGAAACAGAAGTTGAGAGAGGCGGATCTCCCTTATCTGCAGCCACATAGCCCTTCGGTGGTAGGACCTGGGTTCAAACCCCGGTTTATCCGATCCCCCAGGAAAGAATATTCTGCAACATTCCTGAGATCCACATTGAATTTTCAAAATTGATCTTTATGGTAAAAAATATTTATGGTAAAATATAATTGAACATGACTGTTTATAATGTCAGAAAAAAAGTGGAAATGACAAATCTAAAGGGAATAGATTTTTTTTTAAAAGATGGCATATCTCTAAAATAGGCTTTCACGAGACCATTAAATACAGTGACACAAATCTGTATTTATTGACATGCAAGCCACTTCATGATAAATTGTTGAGTAAAAACGTGCACAGAGAAGGTTGCAAAGAGGGATTCCACCCGTGTAAATTTACACACACCTGCTGATATTTGGTGTGAAGATGTAGCTTGGCGATGCTGAGTGTGTGTAGCGAACAGCAGATCAGGCATATAAAACATTACCCAAGGCTTCAAATAACCAAACATCCATGGTCGTAAGAATCAGAATTGTTCTTATGTGCCACGAGCTTTTCGCTTTCCTATTTGTGAGCACCAGTGTTTCATAACAACATACATTCTTTCATTTTTACTTTAGAGAATCATTTTACTTTTTCTTTCAACTAGAAAATGTGTTTTTAAATAAAGGTTTGTTCTCATCTAAAAAAATGCAACAACAACCAGAAAAACAAACACATTTTGAAAAATAAAGAAAAGAAAAAGTTATTTTGAGGTGTTCATGATCTAGGGTTACAAGTTAAGTTTTAAAAAGCAAATTGCAAAACTGTAAGTGCAAAATGATCCTATTCTGTTTTAAACACACAAAGACGCGCGCGCNCCAGAAAGCTGAGACATGGGAAGGAGTGAGAGGGAGGTCCAATCATTCTAATGGCTGCAGAGGTGACAAAACCTTCCCAGGTGATGTGCCAAGGGAGCCACTCCCCACATGGTGCCTTTTCAGTGAAGGGCACCAGGGGTAGGGAGATATGGGAAACCACAGTGGGAAATGAACTGATAATAATCAAGTCTACTGTATTTGCCCTGCACATTTACCAGCGCCATGATAAATCTTTTATATACCATAACCAAAATTCATCTTCAAGTCTATGGGAGGCAGTTACGAGACCCATTTTACAGGTGAGAAAACTGAGATATAGGGAAGTCAGAGAACTTGCCTAAGAGCAAAAGGAGCCCAGGGAAGGTATGTGATTTATGCTCTTTGAATATCATCATACATGGGTGAGAGGCACACAGACGGTTTTGTGGGGAAGATTCTCCCCTCCCCAGCCCACTTCCATGGAGAGGTGAGAGGACCACAGGCTGCCACATGCCTTGGTGAACAGCCTGCAAGTTTGCAAGAGGACCCTTGCTTCTTTCCGGGGCTTGGTCTCAGCCCACGGATCTGCCCTTAATCAATGGCATGTAATCCACGTTTGCACCCCAAGTTCTCTATCCCCGAATGCAATCTTGAATTTGCTAATTTCCTACCCTTATAAAAAACACTCAAGGATGAGGAATTACATTCACAGGTGGTAGCCTGAAATACGCTCTATTTTCCCTCCAGAGCACGTTTTATCACAGGGAACCATGGCCCTCATCCCTTTATGGAGCCGTTTCAGTATTTTGACATCTTCTCACGATGAGTGCCATTGTGAGAAATAATTATGCAGCGATACTAATTCTGTCTGTTGAAGACACTGTCTAGAAAGTCACACGGTGCCGTGCTTATCGGGACTGACTGGAGACCTTTCCCTCTGGCATTGGAGTCAGGTAAACAGGATTTACTGAACAAATGCTGGGTCTGTCCCACAGGCCCCCATACACTTTACCGCTGAGTAAGTTTCCTTTTGCATTTTGGTGGCTAAGAATCTGAGTTAAACAGCCACTTCCTTCTGAGAACTACACAAACCCAGTACCGCACAGGTTACCTTGCATTGATTTAACCTGAGCTTGAATAATTTTCTTTATTCCTATTTTCCTTACAATCTCATTCTCTTAGTTATTTCATTTCCTGTGCTGGATTGAAAAAAAAAATTGCATAAACTTAAAAAAAAATCATCCCTAAATCTTTGGAGGAATAGGTAGGACAGAAAGCAAACAAAGAATGGATGGGACTGGATATAATGTCGGTCACCTGACTAGCTAGGGTTTCCATGCCAAGGTCAGTGTTAACTGGACGGGGAACTGTTTAAGAAGATTTAGGGTCTGTCATTACGCACAGAATCCGCTTCCCAGGTTTTCCTCCTACAGGCTCTAGTTCTGGAAACTTCCCGAGGATATTCCATTACCTTTGCTGCGGCGACGGCTGCGGTACTGCTCCGTGTAGAAGGTCAGCTGCGTTTCGTCATCTGCCTCTGAGCCCGACGTCCCCTTGACTCTCGCAAAGCTGATTCCCCCTGTGAGGAAGCACACTCCATCAGTCATCCATTGGCCTCCAGAAGCTTCCTAAGTCCCTCACGTGTTCTTAAGATCAGTGGCCCCATTCCCAGACTTCTTTCTGTACGTCCCAAGTGACCCAGGAGTCAGCATGATTTATCGANTATATATATATATATATATCAGCCTTACCAATACTGACAAGGTTTTGGAGCAGATGAAACTCTCATACACTGCTGATGAGAATGCCCATCACGCACCTATTTTGAGAAATACTGTTTCTCAATAAGTTAAACCTACAACAACCCAGATATTCCATTCCTAGTAACTGACTAAAAAGAAATGAAAACATGTCCACACAAAGACTTGTACATAAATGTTCATAGCAGGTTTATCCACAAGAGCAAAAAAAACTGGAATCAACCCAAATGCCCATCAACAGGTGAATACATACAGCATAATACATATCCACATAATGGAATACTATTCAGCATTAAAAGGAACTTCTGATATGTGCCACAGGATATTGGGGTTGTCGGAAAAGTCATGACGCATTTTTGTGACGAAAAACATAGAAAAAATACATCATGACTTTTCCGACAACCCAGTAGATGATTCTCAAAAGCATTAAGCTGAGTGAAAGATACCAGACACAAAAAATACACACTGGATAATTCCATTTATATGCAATTGCAGAAAAGGCAAATCCAAGCTATAGTGACAAAAAGCAGATCTGTGGTTGTCTGATGGGTGGGAGGGAGGATGCAGTACAGAAGGTCACAGGGACCCTTTTGGGGGTGATCTAGTGAATAGTAGTGAGTGCATCTTCCAAAACTCATTGAACTGTATACTCTAAGTGGATACAGTTTATTGTACATAAAATACACCTTAATAAAGTTGATGTTTAAATTGCACATAAAAATATAAATCAAGCTTGGACAGAACTTAGAGCAAAATTTAAATGTTGGTAGTATTTGGATGATGGCATTCAAGAAAATTTGTATATTTCTGGTTGTGCTTTTAGGAATTTTTCAAACTTTAATGAACACGAATCATGTCAAATTTAAAAAAATAAGCTAGTCTATGGCATTTATTAAATTTAGGCCAGCATGCTGTTGCTGATTAAGTGTGCGACCAAGGTAGTATTTTTGTCTAAGATATATTGTTTCCAAATAATCCTCTTCTTCTTGCTCACGCTTAAGGGCAGAGAGGTCATCCTGGAGAGCCAAGTGTTCTCCCTTCTCTATATTCCAAGCATGATATCAGAACAGAGAAAATTCAATAAAAACAAACAAAAAAAATGACTGGATTTGGAGTTTGGTCTTTAATTTTGTGTTACTGTGGTGGTTTCAAACACAGCCCTCAGATTCTTTGACACACCTCCCGTTGAGAGATGAGTTCTCCTATGCTTGAATCGGGATGGACTTGTTACTGCTTTGAGTAACAGAGAATGGCAGAGGTGAGGCTGTATGTCTTCCAAGGCTTGGTCAGAAGAGGCCATGCAGCTTCACCTGGTTCTCTGGGAGGGCCGGAAGCCAGTTACCATCTAAGAAGCCCAACTGCCCAGAGACTACCATGTTGCAGAGGCCACTGGTAGAAGCACCAGTCAACTGCCCTAGCTGAGTTCCTAGCCAACGACCAGTATCAACTGCCAGCCACCAGTGGGCCATCAGGATGGCCAGCCCAGTTGAGTCTTCAGATGACTGCAGCCCTACCTGGTGTTGGACTGGAACCACAGGAGAGGCTCCAAGCAAGAACTGCCCAGCCGAGCCCTACCCAAATTCCTACCTCCTAAAACTGTGGGCAAATAAAACAGTTGCTTTTAGCCACAATATCATGGGATAATTGATTATGCAGCAATAATAACTGTAGCTGTGATCTTGGGTAAGTCATTTGACCTCTTTAAACTCTTAAGTCTTACATCTCTAGTGGGAATATCATCTACTCTCAGCACTGTTGCAAGGCTTAAAAAGATGTTGTAAACCTTGGAACACTGAGCAAATGCTTGTAGTTTTCTTTTATTCGCTTATTTATATTTTTACTCAACATGTTTATTGAATGCCTACTATATGCCAAGCCTGTGTAGGAAATTGGGGGTACAATCATTAATAAGATACAGTCCCTCCCATCAAGGAAAGAACTCACATTGGGACAGAGGAAGTGGTCAAGAAACAAGGTGATGGGCAGAATAAACAGGCAAATAAAACAGAAACAGGCTGATAGATCCAGAGAACAAACTGACGGTTGCTAGATGGGAGGGGGACTGGAGGAATGAGTGAGAAAGGTGAAGGGATTAGAAAGCATAAATTGGTAGTTAACACAATAGTCATGGGGATGTGAAATATAGTATGGGGAACATAGTCAATAATTATTGTAAAAGTTATGTATAGTGTCAGATGGGTACTAGACTTATCATGGGGATCACTTCATAAATTATATAAATGCCTAACCACTACACTCTACACCTTAAAGTAATATAAAATAATATCAAATGTCAACTATAATTTCAAGCAAATATATCGTCATGGGATGTAAAGTACAGTACAGGGAATGTAGTCAATGGTATTGTAATAGCAGTGTACAATGTCAGATAGGTAGTAGACTCACTTTATGAGGTGTGTAAATGTCTAATCACTATGTTGCTTTGTTCACCTGAAACTAATAAAAAAAAGAAAGAACAGAACTAAGGTGATGGAATGAAGTGTGATAAGGCCACCAGCACAGGTCAACGCAGGAGCTATGGTAACACACAGTAGGTAGGGGCTAGCTCTGACTATCCTGGGGCCAGAAAGAATGGTCAGAAGTCTAGATTAGATGTGTGGAGATGGGGGAAGGCTGAAAGTGGAGGGAAGACCATTGCTTCAGAGAAACACAGCATCTGGCTTAGCTCTGTAGTGAACGAGTCAAAACTAAAAAAAGAAATATGGTGTGCTGCGGACCTATGTAAACTGGAGAAAACAGACACTCGTGAGGCATGATGGAGGCACTATGGCATCTATAATATCTTCCATGGATCTTTCTGGTCACACAAGAATAAAAAATTAAACAAACAAACAAATCATCAAGAACAACAGACTTAAATAGCTGCTACCTTGAATAATCTTTGTCAATTTTGGACCAGCATAACAAGAGACCAGGCTAAGGTATAAGATTTCATCAGAAATGTCTCATTCTGCTCAATGTGGTGACAGAGAATGGTGATATCGGGAGGCACTAGAGGCAGCTTGTTTCCAAAATCTTTGCAGGCTCCCTCTTTCTGAGTCAGGATTACACAGGGATTGGCTTGCCTCCCATGGCCTAATGGTTGTCCTATGGCCAGTAGAGTTATTCCGTGATTGCCAGATGACCGTAATTCTTTTCAAAAGAGTATGTGTGTCCATGTGTATGTGTGTGTGTGAGCGTGCATATGAGTGTTTGTGTGGGGGAGGGTCAGGGAGAATCCAGGCATCGCAAAAAGAGAAAAAAGTACTTTCCCATTCATCACTGAAGTAGGTCCATTTACCACCTCCACGGTATAAGCAGAATGCCACATAACCAATGTGGAGGGTCATGTGTCTAAGAGATGACAATAAAAGAGCTGATTCACAATCAACTCCTGAATCTCTTGACTCAACGCTCTTCCCGTATGCCCCTTGCAGACAATATGATAGCTAAACACGGGTGGTGATAACAGAGAGGTTTTCAGAGAAATCAAGGCCTCGGTCAGATGAAGAAGAGAGGGAAGGAGGCCTTATTGGGAATGAGGAACCTCAGGCTCCCTTTCATTGGGAAAGGTCCATTATTCTCTGTGGCCGACACACGAAGGCGTCTAAACAAATGCCAAGTTTAATTAGCTCAGATCCAAGTGAAATGAACTAAATTCAATTTGCTATTTGCACTCCTTCTTTTCTTCCTAGGACAAGCTTAGGGTTTTAAACAGCTTAAGAAGATGGGGAAATTTTTTTGCAAAATAGGAAAAAGAAAAACAAAGCAGCTCTAATACCCAGAGTCGTGTCAATAAGCTGTTTTAGGAAAGAGTGGGAGACTTTGTTGGGGGGCAGGGAGTTCTCCCACATCATCTCAAAATGTGGACAGGGGCGCCTCCCTCCCTGGGTGGCACCTGGCACACAGAAGGTGACAAGTATAGGCCAGAAGGGACGAAGCAGGGCGGGTTCTCACCAGCATCCTGCACGCTGTGGTGCTGCAAATGCTTTGAAGTGATGCTCTCCAACCTAACCCTGTTTGCTGAGCTATTAACCTACTAATCTCAAATAGAAATACTCCACCGTGTGCGGAGAGGGGAGGCTACTGTCTCCTTTGCCCTCACTCCACTTCCCACTTAGCCCTACCACAGTTCATCCCAGTAGAAAACAGCGTCTTTTCCAAGCAGACACCACACTGAGTCTTCCGTCAGAGACAATCCCAGGATGAACATTGCATCCCTCTGGGTGTCAGATCACACCCAAAGGTTCCTACACCTTATGACAGCTTGGCAGACTACAGGTGAAACATATATATATATATATATATATATATATATATATATATATATATATATATATATATATATATATATATTTTTTTTTTTTTTTTTTTCAAAACAAGAAAAACAANTAAATACAGATGACCAGAGTCTCAGAAGCCAAGGAAACAGGACAGAGTTAATATATATACATATATATATATATATATATATATATATATATATATATATACACACACACACTAACATTTAAAGAAATAATGATTGAAATTAACCAAATTTAGTGTGAGGCATAAACTAACAAATTTCCAAAGCTCAGGGGACACCAAGCAGGACAAACATGGAGTCAGGGGAGCCTAAGAATCAGTCCAACTGCTGCAAATCAAACATGTAGACACATCTTTGCTCTCTAACCACTTCAACATGGCAAAAACTAAATAAAAAATAAAGCATAATGGTTAGAAAGGAATAAAACTATATTTGCTCACATATGACACAATTGTTTACAAAAAGAATCACAAGGAACCTACAAAACAGCTATTAAAATAAGCAACTTTG